ACATTTTTGTCATATCTCTTATTTACTCATTTTCATTTTGAGTGTAAGGAGTTGGTGGTCTGGTAACTTCCAAAGGGTAGCAATAATTTGTTTTTAAATATCATTATGAATTAATAGGTTTCTAGACACTTGTGTTTAAAGCCCTTTTGAAGGAAACTTAAAGTTGCATTCAATCAGTGATGAAGAAAGCAGGTATGGGAGTATTAAAAAACTGATTTTGATTGTCATGTTTTTATGATAACCAAAATATTTTATAATAAATTAAACAAAAATAAACTGAATTGGTTGTAGTAGCCATCAATGCGGTTGAAGGTTTTGTGTTTACACTCAGTAAATTCATTTTGTTTGGAACAGGGGCATAATGGAACTCTGTGTTAAGGGAAACGTGCCAGACAGGGTGAGGTCTGAGCCTAGAAGCAGCTGGATTTATCAAGTAGGTGCCAAATTTTCAGGCACTGGAATAGAATTATACTTTTTTTGATAATGGGCTATATAGTATTCTCTGTTGGAGTCTAGCAAATAGCTGTGGTCAAGGAGACTCCAGGGAGTATGGAGATGAGACTTAAGGAGTAATCACTTACCGTGGCATGCACCTGTTACGTGTCTCTTGCATTGTACCAAGACTGTAATAAAGCTAAGGTTTATAGAACAAAAGTTATCTGCCAGGCATTCTGTACATGGAGTTTGCATCCCATCTTCACAGCAACTTTAGATGTTGGTGTGATATATTGTACCTTTTTTTACAGAAAGGGGAGACTGACACTAAGTGACTTGTCCAAGGTCACAGTACTGAAGATTCAAACCCAGATGGTCTGACTCCAGAGCTTGTGCTCTTTTAACTGTTTTGCTTGCTTTATTATTTAACCTTAAATCTGCAGCTTATTTTGGTGATGAAAGATTAGGAACCTTATTGTTGAGACCCTCCTGTGGAATGTCTCCTGGAAGAAGAAGAATATCCTGACACAGTTGAAAGACACGTTGAAAGCCAACTTTGGGAGTTTTTACTCTTTGGTGGATGTATAACTAGATGACCTCTCAAAGTAGAGCAAATAAGTTAACTGTTTATGCCTATGTTGGACAAACAGTTCTCACTTATATTTTTTCTTGTTATTTTATAAAGACTGACACTTTGAAAATGAAATAGGTTTGAGAATTACTAATGAAGCAGAGTGGTCCTGAATATCATATGTATAGCTAATGGTTATAATACATATAGTTAACTGAAGACTTTCTAATTTGTTAGGGTAAAGCAAAAAAAAAACCTTTTATCTCTTCAATCTGAGTACCCATGTCTTTTTCATACTAGAGCAACTTTGAGGAATAAAATGTTCCCTTTGGGACATGTTTTAGACACCTTGACTTTGAGGGGCACTGATGTGGACTTCTCTAATAATTTAGTGAGTGGATTTGGAGATCTGGGGCTGAACTCTAGATGGAAATCCCCCCCCCAATTTGATATATATATATGCATTTACTTAGAAATCTGTGTTTCAAACTATGAAAGCACAAAGGGCTTGGGTAGATTTAGAGGCAAGGCTGTGTGCTGTTGCCCTGGGCAGAGTCCTGATTTAGGAGGCGAGGGATCTCAGTGCAGTTGTGTTACACCTTCAGATTGTGAGACTTTGGGCACAGGGACTCAGACTTATTCATGAAAAACTGAAGCATTGATCTAGATGTTTAATTTTGATGCAATGGGACTTTGTTCTTTAACTGTCTCTATTAGGTCTGGGTGATATCTCTAGATCCAGAATCAGAAAATTTCTTCCTAAGACCCATCTTGGTGCCATAGGCTATGTAACTCCTGAGAGAAGAAGGAGTGGGAGAGAGAGAAGACAAGAGGATCAGAGGCCTGATGAGGCCAATAAAATAATTCCAAAGCTTTTCTTACACATTTTCAGTTTATGAACTTCTGTATTGAAATGAACAAAAGCTATCCACCAGAGTGAAGGTGTCTCTTTCTGTCCTAAGAAGTGGCTTAGTGATCATGGACAGTCATCTCAGTTTTGGTTTATTACTCTTGGTGTTAGTGTGTATTGGAAGGTACGGGTATGTTGATTGCTTGTACTTTTTTTTTTTTGATGTATTTCCTTTAAATCTTTTTTTTTATTTTATTATGTTATGTTAATCACCATACATTACATCATTAGTTTTTGATGTAGTGTTCCGTGATTCATTGTGTGCGTGTAACACCCAGTGCTCCACGCAGAACATGCCCTCCTTAATACCCATCACCAGGCTAACCCACCCCCCACCCCCTCCCCTCTAGAACCCTCAGTTTGTTTCTCAGAGTCCATCGTCTCTCATGGTTCATCTCCCCCTCCGATTTCCCCCCCTTCATTTTTCCCTTCCTACTTGTTTTTGAGATGTTTGAAAAACATTTATTAACACATAACTGTGGAAATGCTAAGAAAAGGTACATGATTGCTGTGGAAAAGAAAGTGAAACTTCACATAGATGTGTTCACATTGGTCACTGGTAGAGTGTCACTTTGTATTTACAAAAAAATGCTTTTGGAATGGGCCTTTTGGAATCTACACCTTTTACAGAAAAACTTTTGTTACCAGGAAACATCCCTTGATTCTGATTATACTTTCTTTTTAAAGATTTTATTTGGGAGAGAGAGAGCATGAGCAGGGGGAGGGGCAGAGAGAGAGGAAGAAGCAGACTCCCCACTGAGCAGGGAGGCAGACAGGGGCTCAATTCCAGGACCCTGAGAGCCCCCCTGGCGCCCCAGTATAATCCTTTTAACTATTACTGTGGGCACACAGGTTTGGTTAGGTACAGAAGGAATTTTAGACAATGGGTACTTACCCAGAGAGGTTTTGCTCTAACTATCTTGCTCCCTGGCATATTGCTTTCAAAATAATAGGCACTCAAACATTTATTCAGTTGAATTAGGGAGACATAATTTTCAAATGTGAAACAACTTACAATTAGTGCTAACTTAGTTGACAGTAAATGCTGTATTTCTGAAGGGAGTGATCGCAGTAGGTGGAGGTGTAGAGATTTGGGAGGTTTATGAAAGAAATGGGACTTGAGTTTTGAGTGGGAAAGATGTGAATGGATGCTGAGGTGGGAGAGGTATGGGGAATAAGTAGAATTTAAGAAGGGAGGCAAGAATGAATACGGTTTCTGTGAAGGACCATAAGAAAGGGGCACCTAGATGGCTCAGTTAAGTGTCTGCCTTTGGCTCAGGTCATGATCCCAGGGTCTTGGGATGGAGCCCCACATCGGCTCCCTGCTCAGTGGGGGGTCTCCTTCTCCCCCTCTCTCTGCCCCTCCTCCCTGCTTGTGTTCTCTCTCTCTTAGATAAATAAAATCTTTTAAAAAAAAAAAAGGACCATAAGGCAAGCTCAGTGCAGAATGAAATTGGGTAATAATTTAAGGGAAAAGATTATAAGTAACATTTGTCCAAAGCCAAATGTATGTCTTATGTTTATATGTCTGTCCGTGATCAATTTAGGTCAATGCATTGTTTTTCCCTCCCGTTACGGTGCATTGCTAAAAAACTACCGGAATGCGCTAAAAAATAAAAATGCTTTTCTAGTATTGGAGTTGAACTCATTATTGAAAGAGGTGGGGTAGAATAGGTGTGGGAGACTGCTGGGTTAGAATTCAATTTAGTGGGTAGAAGTATCACCTGAATTGGATTCTTAACCCTTATTTTATTTTGATTCCCAATTAGGAAAATTACAGTTATCCCTAATGACCCCTAGAGTCCAGAGTATATAGGGAATCAGCTTTACTGAAATTAGGAAATTAAGTATTTGATTCGGCTGGCACATGCTAGCTGAATTTAAGTTTTCAGGGAAACTGACTGACCAGCTCAGCTTCATTCCCTAACTTGACTCTTCAAAATTGTAAATGCTGTTTCCAAGAACTAGATGTAATGTGATTACTTTTATAATCTTTGTCTTTTTAAACCACATTTATAGCTGTAACCCTATGATGCAGTATTTCATATAATTGTGATAAATTAAAAAATTTTTTCTTCTACTTTTGTTAGTAGTGGTAACTTTTTTTTTTTAAATAGGCAAACATCTTTGGCAGGCACTTTTTAAGCATTTCTCCCTGTGAAATTGTTTTCACTCTTAAGTTGCGTTTCTGTTTTTCTACTATTGTAAAGTGCAGTTCTTTGCATGTTTTAATTTGCCATGACGTGGTCAAGTGCCGTTTCCTTCCTGTTGCTTGCAAGCCTGTGCTAGAGATAAGGATACATTTCAGTGCATTAAAAAAGAAGCCACTGAAGACAGGCTTAAGCATGGTAAAACATTCTACTTATCAGAAACCTTTATAAAGAACAGAGAATGGACTTTAATTTCTGTTTATTTTTAAAAGCTCTTAAAATAGTACTTACTAAACTTTAAATGTATTAGATTTAAATTTTTATATATATTAGGCATACCAGGGATACTGTATGAATGTTTCTCCTAAGGCAAAAATATACAGATGAAATTACTCATGGAGTAGCAATTCCTGTGTGGTTTGCTGGGTTACTGGCAAGAAGGAAACTGTTTATATGTCCTTTATTGCAATTAAAAAGCTAGTTATTGCTGGGTGGATTTTTTTTTTTTTTTAAAGTATTCGGTACTTTAACTGTAGTTTAACTGGGGCGGGGAAAGAAGGGAGAATGGCTTCACTTTCAGAAATGAGAAGTGACGATTATTGAAATTTAAGATGTTTAGAGACTGGAACTTAATGGAACAGTTCTAGGACAGATAATACTGGGTAGAAGTGAAGATCTGATTGTTTACTTTGTTTATTGTCTATATGCCTTTTAAAAAAATAAACTTGTTATGCAAAATAAAAAAGAAATGAGAAGTGATTTTATCTTAGCAGGAATGAAATCTTCAAAGAAAATATATATCCATCAGTCATGTTGCTTTTCTTTAAAAACATTAATAAAAAATACGTGGGGGATACTGCCCTCGGTATTTATTGTTATATTCTAAATGGGCATGGTTGCTTTTTCATAACTAACTTAAACCTCTGTTTTTCAGGCCAAGAAGTTCTAGAGAAGAAAAATTTCAGAAAAATTGCCTCTGTTGGAGTAGAATATCAGTGAACCAAGAAAATTTGAAGCACCATCCCTAAAGAAAACCTGGGTTACAGTAACTTCACAGACTTAGCTGAGGGTTTTTTACCCAAATTGGTCACTGGATTCTGCTGCCTCATACTTGAACCTGCTTGGAATTTTTCTCATGTGGATCTAAGGGGAATGCTTTATTATGGCAGCTGTGGTCCAACAGAACGACCTAGTATTTGAATTTGCTAGTAACGTCATGGAGGATGAACAACAGGTATGAAACCCAAAGAAAATTGGATTTTTATATGTTTATTATTATGATTCTTCCATTTGCAACAGAAAATTACTTACTTTAAAAGACAGTAGGAGAAACTTTATTGTAAAAATATAGATATTAAAAATTTGGTGGTAATTGTGATCCTATGTTTTAAGTACTAGTTTGTTAAAAGAATTTAATCCTTAGCTTTGATGTGGAGTAAGGAAGTAATAATTTCAGAGTTAAGCTTGTTTTTCTTTTTGGAAAATGAGACTTAACAGTAAATAAAATACCTTAAGTAATTATTTCAAAGTACTTAAGTACTTTGAAAAGTTCTAGAGGACATACCAACAAGACATGTAAATTTTTTTTTGTGATACAGGACTGGTGTTTCTACAGTTTAAATGCATGTGGTTAACTAGTATTTATAATCCTGGGCCAGTTTTTCAAGTGGATGGAAAGCTGTTAGCAGTCCCATAATCATGCATCGCTTCAGTCCAAAGCACATGATTCTGAGGAAGTCACTTAACTTCTCCAGGTCTAGATTGTATCATCTGTTGAATGGGGGGATTGAACTGAAGAATTTCTAAATTGGCTTTCACAGAGTTTTCGTTCAGTGATGCTCCAGTTGCTGTTTCTAGAATGGGAAGAAGATCCAAGAGACATTGAGAAAAGGATCTAAGTTAATTCTAGTCTCCCTGCCCCTCTGTCCCACCTCACTTCAGGGGGGAGATGCTAGGGGTTCTTGGGACTTTACAGTTTACTTCATTTTAAATAGGTTATGTGGGAATGTGAGACATAATGTGGGAGAAATACTGTGTTAGACTCAGTGTACTGGCAAAATTATTTTGAGGGCCTTTAGGTTTAAAATGTGCCTAATAAGTTGATTTAGATACTGAAATAAGCCTAATCCCAAATATCTTACATCAAAAGGCCAATTAAAATGTATCATACTTTTATTCTAGAAGCATAGTTACGACAGATAATAAGATTGATTCTTACTTTGGGCAGGGCATTATAATTTCTTTGCTGTTTGTATTGTCTGTTGAGGTGACAGGATTAAAAATTTCTAAGAAAACCTACAAAAGATGAGAATTTGCATTGAGGTGCCTTAAAATCAAGATGAGCTTTGGCTGGGAAGGAAAAATGTTTGGGGGAGAGGATTGCTTGGTCCCAATTAAAAATATTAATGGGTACATGGATTTAATCTAGAGACAATAGAAAAGATATTTTAGGAAAGAAAGTATTTTGAATTTGTTTTAAAACAGGGTATTTCTCTGTACGTTAAGGTTTGCAAACCATATGTTTACTGTGCAGCTTGATGAAAGAGTCTTGGCTTGATGTGGTGAAGTCCGTTCTCTGTGTAGCCACGGAGGACAGAGCTCTAGGCCACTCACTGGTATGCCCTAGTGCAGTGGCTTTGACACTCTTCTGACCATGATAAATACATTTTACATTATGGTGCAGTATTCGTACATGTGTCTACATAGCCTTAAAACTAGTTTTGCACTTTCCCTTAATATGTGTGATGTGCTTAATTTATCTTGGAGAGGTTATTAATGTCTTTGGATAGGGAGATGATGCTCTTAGCTTAACATCAGAATGCACATACGTGTTTTTTTTCCTGTTATTTTCATCAAAATGAGTGTATATATTTGTATATATACTAGTTTTGTGCAGGACTTTACAAATACTAAACATGAGGCAAATAATATTATCCCCATTTTACAATGAGGAAAATGAGACAGAGAGAGGTCAAATGATTTGCTTGAAATCCCACAGCTAGTCAGTAGTGGAGTTGCCATTTGAACCCAAGCAGTTTGACTCTCACTAATGATACTCTTGCATTGAAGTATGCCAGTATTACTGTATTATATGTCAATGTCAATTGACAGATTGTCAAAATTTGTCAGGTCAATGTCAAAAATTGGCAGGTTTAGAGTTTTCCAGTCTATCACCATGAGCATAGCAAACTTAACTGATTCATATAGGGGTGGATCCAGTAGTGTCAGTCTTATTATTATTAGCCTCTTAATCTAATCTGTGGTTCTACTTCCTTGTTTGTTTGCTTGTTAGATTTGTGGGTTGTTTTTTTTTTTTTTAAGATTTATTTATTTTTGAGAGAGAGAGAATGAGCAGGGGGAGGGGCAGAGGGAGAAGCAGACTCCCCACTGAGCAGGGAGCCTAATGTGATGTGGGACTCAATCCCAGGACCCTGGGATCATGGCCTGAGCCGAAGGCAGACGCTTAACCAACTGAGCCACCCAGGCGCCCCGTTAGATTTGTTTTTGATTCAAAAGTAATAACATGCCAATTACAAAAGAAGGCACCTAATATAAAAATACATAAAATAGTTCTTTACCCTTCCTTCCTAATTTATTTCTCTCCAAAAGACAGTATTATTAACTATTTGATGTTAATTTTTTAGACAAAGGCCTCAACAAAAGAACAATATATGTATATACAAACCTACCAAAATAGGTTGTTTTTGAGATACAAATGAAAGTATGCTAAACCTTTTTTGTGACTTGTTTATTTTCACTTATTGTATTGTAAATATGTGTGTATGTATGCTGGCTCTACATCATTTAATTTTTCCACATGATGGATGGATCATTATTTTACCAAGCTTTGATCATGGACAAGACAGATATACCAGTATTTTGCTATTATAAACAATACTGCAATGAACATCCTCATTTGTGAGGCAGTAGACCTATAGTAGTTAAGAGCTTAGTTACTGGAGTCAGAACACCTGGGTTGAATTCTCTCTCCACTGCTTATTACCTCTGTTAACTTTGGACAGATTATGTAACCACTCTCTGCCTTGGTTTCCTTATCTGCAAAATGGGAATGATAATACCAGACCCTATATTGTAGGGTTATTGTGAGAATTAAATGAGTTGATGTATATAAAGCTCTTAGAACCATGCCTGAGCACTCTCATTTTGGTGTGTGTGTGTGTGTGTGTGTGTGTGTGTAGCTTTGCACATTTGTATGATTATTTCTATAAGATTTCTAAAAGTAGATTTACTGAGTTTACTAAAAGCATAAATATACTACCAAATCATTCTTCAAAAAGTCTGTATCTGTTTCTACTACCACTAACAGTACATTTCCCAAACTGTCACTAACAGAAAGCCTTTTTTTTTTTTCTTTTGGTCAGTCTTTTGGGTAAAAGTTACATTTTACTATTTTAATTTGCATTTCCTTGATTACTAGTAATGAGATTGTTGGGTTGTTATTTAAGTTTGTTTATTGTTCATTTGAATTTCCTTTGAATTACTTATTAATCTTCTTTTGCCCAGTTCTTTATATATTATGGATAACACATTGTCTTCTAACTCATTCATTGTATAGTTAATGGTTAGCTTTCTTTGTGACACGTGCAGATATGTTGTCCCTATCTGGTATCATCTTTTAACAATATGATATCTTATACCCTATAGCATTTTAATTATATATGTCATAAAATCTACCAGTATTTCCTTTTTTTGGTTTTTTTTTTTTCTGATTTGGAAACCTTTCCTCACCCTAATATTATTAAATATTCTTTTTATATTTTCTTCTAGTTTATATGTTTAACTCCTCAGTACATACGGGATATATTTTTATAAAATGTGAGGTATAGGGATCTGACAACTGCCTTCTCCCACTAATGGGGATGTTGGCTCTTCATGATTTGTTGTGTATTTTATGATTTCCACACTAAGACTGCCATTTCTGTTATGTACTAAATTACCACATGTACTTTAGTTTTGAACTTGCTAGTGTATTTTATTCCATTTAACTGGTTTTTATTATGCCAATAGCACATTCGCTTTCATTAGTATTACTTTATAGATTTGACATCTGATAAGATATCCCCTCTCCTCTGCATAAAAAAAAAAAATTGGTATAGCGTTTTGAATGAATTTTAGAATTAGCGTCTTCTTTTTTTTTTTTTTTTGAAGATTTTATTTATTTATTTGACAGAGACACAGTGAGAGAGGGAACACAAGCAGGGGAAGTGGGAGAGGGAGAAGCAGGCTTCCCACCAAGCAGGGAGCCCGATGCAGGGCTCGATCCCAGGACCCCGGGATCATGACCTGAGCCGAAGGCAGACGCTCAACGACTGAGCCACCCAGGCGCCCCGGGATTTTAACTTTTCAAATTTAAAAAGTATTTGTGTCTTTTAAAATAATTCTGTTGGGGGCATCTGGGTGACTTAGTCGGTTGAGCAACCAGCTCTTAATTTTGACTCAGGTCATGATCTCAGGGTCTTGGGATCTAGCCCCATGTCAGGCTCCACGCTTAGTGGGGAGTCGGCTTGAGGATTCTCTCTCTCCCTCTCCCTCTGCCCCTCTCTTCACTTGTGTTGTGCACTCGTATTCTCTCTCTCTCAATAAATAAAATCTTATAAAAAATAATTCTGTTTTATGATCCTGTATTGGTTTGGTTGGTTCTTTACAAAATCACTGTTTGCAGGCACCAGATTAGAATACATTTCCTGTTTTGAGTTATGGTCTGTGGTTATAAATGTCATCTAAAGACACTGACATCATTAATGTCTGGTTGCCACCACCTTGATCATTTTCCCTTGTATCGATTTGTACTCTTTTCAGAATTGCTAGGAAAAACTCCTTTGGGCAAGGATGGGTGTTGGGGGATGGTAGTGTTGGAAAGGAAACACCAACATTATTGGTGCTGACAAGCCACTTTTAAAAGTCTGCCCTTGATGTCTGTTCAAAACTGGGAATTTTTTTTTTAAAGATTTTTATTTATATGAGAGAGAGAGAGCATGAGAGGGGGGGAGGGTCAGAGGGAGAAGCAGACTCCCCGCTGAGCAGGGAGACTGATGTGGGACTTGATCCCGGGACTCCAGGATCATGACCTGAGCTGAAGGCAGTCGTTTAACCAACTGAGCCACCCAGGCGCCCCTAAAACTGGGAACATTTGTAGCTGAGAACGAAGCTCTTCTGTGGGAGAGCAGCGCCGTCAGTATTGAATCGCAGTGTGTACTTTTATTTGAAGGTGAA